CATGTCACAAGGCTGTGATGCAGGCCCGATTGTGGGGTGAGAAAACATCACTTCTCGGTTCAGTTTCTCTCCTGTTCTGCTTAAAAAATCTTCCCAGAGTGGCTTTGGGAAGCCACAATAAAATCAAGAAATGCTCTGCTCACAGTTACAGAGGCACAACACAAAAATGGGCCGGGAAGTGTCAGAAGAGGACAGAAAAATGAGCATGTTTCAGGCACTGGTTTTTAAAGTTGAAACAGTAGCCTGTGTTAATTAATCACCAGCTGGAATGGAAGCTTGTGCCCATCTATGAACTTCTGCACTGCAGCAGCTATGAAGGAGAAGTGAGCTACCAGAGATCCTAGTTCCAACTCCATCAAAGGTAGGACCTTATCAGGTGCTGCTAGACTAGCCACCATCACAAAAACAGTACACCAGATATAAATAGTGTTATGCCCACAACAAACCCGACAAATCCAAGAAACCCGCCTGTCTTAGAATATGTTTAAGAATATGCCAAATTAATTGGAAGCCAAGTCATTAGAATGGCAGGTGGCAAGCCACATCTTAGAAGAAGGTTCCTTTTATATGTCTTGAATCTTCAGCCATTCAGGGCAGATAAAGGGCTTGGGTACAAAACAGCTTTAAATCTTGGTATCTTGCTCTCTCCATTGCGGCCATCTGAGCCTAGGAATGGTTTCCCATCTCCATTATACAAAAGGCCAGCTGCCTTTGATTCCTTGTCTCCCCTGTATGTCACTTAGCATTAGCTATTCATTTAGGCCACTGAACCTGCTATGACAAGAACCGTATCTCTTCCTAACACAGTTGAAGAAAGATGCAGACAAGCTGGAAAGAGTTCAAGAGGAGGGCAACAAGGATGAGCCGGGGAATGGAGACAAAGCCCTCTGAGGAGAGATTTGAAAGAACTGAGCATTTTTAGAGAAGAGAGGAGAGAGGAGAGGAGATTGAGGGGAGATAAGATAGCACTCTGCAAGGGTCTGACAGGCTGTCACAAAGCGGATGGACAGGAGCTCTTCTCAATTATCCCAGAGTGCAGAATAGAGGAGAGGGGGCTTAAGTTGCAGTGAGCCAGATTCTGGCTGGACATCAGGAAGAACTTCCTGACTGTTTGAGCAGTACGACAATGAACCCTATAACCAAGGGAGGTGGTGGGCTCTTCCACACTACAGGCATTCAAGATGCAGCTGGACAACCGTATGAGAGGGGTCCTTTAAGTGAAGTCCTGCACTGAGCAGCAGCTTGGACACAATAGCCTTCTTGCTCCTCTTTAACGCTACTTTTCTATGATTGTATGAATCGTGCTTCAGTTTGCCACCCTTTTTCCTTTTGTACCATGCCGTTTAGATTATAAACCCAAAGAAGGAGTCCATATTGGGTTTTGAAAATTCATCTGTAAGCCCTTTTGGCTGAAGGGCAGTGTAAAAAAAAAAAAGATAAACACGTAAGTATTTAGATAAATACATAAATAAATGCACTCCTCTCATCTGATTTCTTTCCTTGCTCAAGGGCAGCCCGGACTACTACAACTAGTGAATGCTGAAAGCCACGCAACCAATCCCAACACCACCGCACTTGCGTGCCACACACCGAGTTTCTAATTCTTTTTGGAAGATTCACTGGGCAAAACCTTTGTTCTGCCTTGGGGTGAGTGTGGGAACATATGATTGGCTACAGCAGGATAGGAAAAGGTGTTAGTTTTGTTTTTGCCATGAGTCAACTTGACTAGACTTGATGAGACAGATGTGTGTAACCCCCCTCCCCCGCCGCCCTGCACACACACTTCCAGGAGAAATCTTCAAGGTCATGGGTGTCAGATGCACATACACAAATCACACACAACTTCCTCCTGCATGTTTGGACCAGCCAACCGTCCACAACAAATCTGCAAGGAACATTAGGCCAAGACAGCAAGTGTCTGGTCCAAGGTCACACATTCATTGCTGTGTTTGGTGCACATCCAAGCCAGCATCTCCCCAGTCCAGTCAAACTGCATCTATGGTATACCACACTGGCTTTTGCACACGTTCCACATGGATAGTACAAGGGTCAAGCCCTGGAATCTCCTCTTCAAACAATTTGTGGGGGCAAGTCTGTGATAATCCATCTCTGAGTCTTTGAAGAAATACATACACACAGACAGGAAAAGGTTGCCAACTTGCAACTTGGTTCACTTACTCAAGTCATCTAGAGAAGGACTGGGGCAGAGTGGTTTTGGACTTCAATTCCCAGAGGCCTCTCCCAGCATGGGAGATGCTGGGAATTAAAGTTCCAAGATCTGCAGACCTATTTTCTCTTCCCACCCCTGATCTAGAGAGACCTGCTCAGGAGATGTTTCAGTGCAATAAACCAGCAGTTCCCTGGTTTGCAGTGCAGAGCACACTGAGGGGTAATAGAAAAGGGTCAGGAGGGGCGGATGAAGACAGAACAAGCCCTTCAAATCAGCAGTTCAGCATGCTAATTTATGGCAGCCTCATGCAAGGAATGCTGGGAAGTGCAGCCCAGCAGATCTGGAGGGCACCTGTGGGAGCAGGTTGTTCTGTGGAAATAACAGTGTGTACTGATACGCCATTTGGAAGGCTCCGGAGGTCCTGTGAGGCTCCGCTGCCTCTCCATGACAACTTGTCGAGCCTCTTTCTGTCTGAGGGCCAAATTCAATTTTGCAGAAACCCTCAGGGAAAGCCTTCCAGTGGCCAAGGGCAAAACAGGGCAGGGCCAAAATGCAAAACAAAAGCAAAGGCCAAACCCCAGAATGAAACCCAGAATAATTCACCAAAAAGCTCTTACTATCACAAACTGAGCTTTCAGGGAAGCAGATCAACCTTTAAGAAAGGAAAAATGCACAGGCTTGCAAACCCTGGGAAAGCACAAAGCATTTGGCGATCAGGCAAAAGGCAGTGGGGCCTAAGGGAAGGAGGCAGAGCCATCCAGAAGATCTTAGAGAGGCCACATTGGCCCACAGGGCTGAGCTTCTGCCACTGGGCTTTAAAACTGCATCCTGCGTCTTTTCCAGGTCTGCTCTCCCTCCTGTGCTGGCCTGCTTTCTCATGAGGCTGCCACTGCAGGGCAGAAAAAGAAGAGTTAATCCCTCTCCATAGGAGTGTTTGCACCCCAAGGGAGATCAAAAGTTCAGGGATGGAGTTTCTGGCTTATGTCTCTGTGGACATGTAAATCATGTACTTTCAGGAAGAAAAAATGGGGAAGGGAGAAGCAGGGCTGATGCCCTAGAAGTCTGTTTACTCCTGCCCCTTGGCCGGTCCTGTCTGTCTCTGCCCTGGATACACACAGGCAGTCCCTACTGCCAAATGCCCTCCTTCACCCTGCTTTGCCATGATCCTGGCTTGGGCACAAGACCCAGGCTTTCTATCTGGAGCCGCCCATCTGTCCACCATCGGTCCATCCATCCTGAAGGCAGAGGAATGTCCGATGCATAAACAGCACCAGAAAAGGGCCCCTTTTGAAGGGACTCAAAGAAGAACAACACAGCAGTTTCTTGCTGCTGCTGCTGCAAGCTGACAGCCAAGCAGATCTGCAGAAAGGGCTTGGGGGCCTTGGGAAGGCATGCGGCCAGATGGGGGTGTGAATGGTTTGGGGTCAAGACTGGGTACAAGGATCCAGTCCCCTGGCTTGTGGGTATGGCTACTGGGATGCCAGGGGAGTGCTAGGCACTGCAATGATTTGGGGCTCAGCCCATAGCAGCCTCTCCCCACAACCAGCACAAATGTGTGCGCACTAATTTACATAAGCTGTAGGGTCTGTGTTTGTCTTTAAAGGGATGTAAAAGGCATGCATTTGCAAAAAGGGATGGCTGGATGGAAAGCAGCCTACTTGATTTCAGGAAGAAAATTGGCTGGGAGAGGCACCAGCCTGGAGAAGAGAAGACTGAGGGGGCACATGATATCGCTCTAGAAGTACCTCAAAGGCTGTCACAAAGAGGAAGGTCAAGATCTCTTCTCACTGATACCAGACTGTAGGACACGAAAGAATCAATTAAAGTTGCGGCAACCCAGGTTCGGACTGAACATCAGGAAAGGCTTCCTCACTGTCAGAGCAATAGGACAGTGGAACCAGCTGCCTAGAGAGGTGGTGGGCTGTCCCGCACTGGAGACATTCAAAAAGAAACTGGGCAGCCTTCTGAGTGGGATGGTGTGAACAGATGTCCTGCACCAGCAGGGGCTTGGACTCAATGGCCTTCTTGGCCCCTTCCAACTCTACTATTCTATGAGTCTATGAGATGAAGAGCATGTGGGCCAAAAACTAGGTAATCCAGGCCTGCGGGGAGGACATGCAGCAGAGCTTTTGGGGCCCTGAGAGCAAGTGCCCACGGGCAGCAAGTTGATGAAGCAGGTGGCCTCCCGGTCATTCAGGCTCCGGATGAAAGATTTGGGGCTACGGAGCTGGTGAGCCTCTTCCCAACACCACCTCTCCTGGGATGGACCACCCTGAAGATAACTCTTTTGTGGATAGAGTTGGGCAGGCAGGCTGGTATTTCTACTCGAAGGATCTCAGAGAAGGAGGGGGAGCGAGTTGGGGAGAGAGCGATAGGAAAATATCAAGTCGATTAGCCTTGAGAGAGAGAAGCGACGATGAAGTAAGGAGCTAGGAATAAATATAGATGGAGACACACATTCCTGAGGGGAAGCCCTGCCACTGTCTTCCAGCAAGTGCGCCGGCCGCGCTGTTTCGAAAGAGTCTCTCTAAAGGCGAATCGATTTACTCTCCCTCAACTTTGCGCCATTAGAAATCGGTGAATCCTTTTATAGGTGCGGAGAAAGGTCTCCTTCCCCCGTAGAGACTCGGAAGGCGACATCCAGATTCGGTCGAGAGACTTGCATAAAGTGCACAGAAAGCGAGAGAGAGAGAAGGAGAGAGGGGCGGGAGAGATCCAGGCAACGCGGGCAGGCGAAACAGAGGAGAGACAGCGAGGGAGAGGCGAAAGGAAAGATGGATGGGCGGCCGACGGGGAAAGAGGCAGCCGGCCCTCCCAGGCTCCCGCTCACCTTTCCGGGGCCGCCGCTTCGCCGCTTGGCGATCCGGGCTCGGGCTGCCGCTACCGCCGCCGCCGCCTGCGCGAGTTTCCCTTCTGCTCGCCCCTGCGGGAGCGGCCGCGCCTCTCCGCCCGCGGCGCCCGGGCCGGTCCCTCCCCCGTCGCAGGGAGTGGCCGGGAGCGCCCCGAGGAGGAGCGGGGCGCGCGGGCGGGCACGAGGCGCGGGGGGCCCGGGCCGCGGGCGGGGCCGGCGGGCGACATCG